TCTTTGTATTTCAAATCTTTAGCTTGTTTCTTGGGATCCTCTAGTCTTCTGTTGGATCTCTGTAAATTATTCTTTATTTCAGTCAGTGTATGCTTAATTTCTAGTTGGTCCTTTATCATGTCCTGCATGGTCTCATTATACTTAATGAGGGACTCATTAAAATTATCGGCGGTTTCCATAAAATTCTTGAAAAACCTTATAAACGTGGCCTTGAACTCTATTTCCAATCGTATGCTTTCCTCCATTTCTTCCATTTGTGACCTGTTTCTTTGTCTCCACATTTTGGCTGCTTCCCTGTGTTGATAGGGTGGCTTTCTGTGCTAGGTATCCTATAGGGCCCAGTGGCTCAGCCTCCCCAATTACCTGAGGTGAACACTCTTGGTGCACCCCTTTGTGAGCTTTGTGCACAGTCTTGTTGTAGTTAAGCCTTGACTATTGTTGGTACCACTGGGAGGAATTGACTCCAGACCTTTTGGCTGTGAGAATCAGCTGTGTCTACAGTGGGAGAACTTATGTGCTGGAGACACCCGTCTGGGGCAAGACTTGCTTCAGTGGGGCTTTGGTGCTCACTGAGTCTGCCCCCTGAGTGTGTCCCTTATGGATCTGAGGAGTTGTAATCTGGATGGTCCCACTCTGACCACTGGATACACTGGCTCTTGGGTCTCTAAGGAGGTGCTAATTTAGCCTCTGCCTGAGGCTATCCAGCAGGAGCTACAGAGAGATGTGCAGATTCCTCTTCTTCATTTGGGATTTGGTGGTGCCCACATGTGGCCCAGCTGTGAAGTAATGCAAGCTGCTGTGGGGCCTTGGACCTTCTGTTGGATGTTCTGGGTCTCTTTGACCCAGATGCAGTTTGTTAGGTAATTTTAGTTTGCAAAGGGCCAGGCCATTCATATGCAAAAGCCTCTGCACACAGCTTGGGTGAGGTGGGGTCTCAGGGAATCAACAGGGCGGAGCAAACAGCTATGGCTGATCCTCAGCCCTGCCCTAAGAGGCCCCAGGTCTCAGTGTCCCTCGGTAATCGGTAGTAGCTGCAAGCACCTCTAAGAGAAAGTCTTCCTCGAGTTCCACCCAATGCCAGTCAGTCCAGTTTCTCCCTGTATGAGTCTGGGCCCCCGGGGACTCGCCCAGAACTGGAGTTCAGGGCTGTCGGGAGCTTGTGTCTCCCTCCTGATTGAAAAAGACAACCATGTCCTCAGTTTCCAACCCTTTCTACCACGCCTCTATACCTCTGCACTTTACTTCCACACCTCCTCTGAGTCTCAGTGTGCTTTTCTCTTTCTAGCTGTAGAATTTCCACTCAGCCAGCCTTCCTGTGGTTCTGGATGATGTCCGTTTTGTCTTTTAGTTGTATTTTTGAAGTGGTTGTGCAAAGCAGCAATTTCAGGTTTTTACCTATGCCTCCATCTTGGTTTCTCCCCACATCAATGTTTATATAGCACAAAGTATGAATATTCACACTAAGTAGATAGATACAGATTATAAATAGCCTTACTCCAGTTCAGGTTAAGTTATACCCCCAAATGAGTTTAAAATCAGAAGTAAAACAAAAAATCTCTTTGTATTCAGAGCTTTAGATATATCAGAATTGCAGTTAAGAGATTATAGATTTATTTTTTTAATTCTTACCCGGGGATATTGTTCCATTAATTTTTAGGGAGAGTGGAAGAGAGAGGAAAAGACAGAAACATCGATGTGAGAGAAACACATCGATTGGTTGCCTCCTGCACATGCCCTGACCAGAGCCCAGGCTGGGAAGGAGCCTGCAACTGAGGTTCAAGCCCTTGACCAGAATTGAACCTGGGACCCTTCAGTCCATAGGCCAGTGCTCTATCCACTGAGCCAAACTAGCTAGGGCTTACTCTGGTTTTTAAATAACTTAAGAATACCTATCATTTATTACTCTACAATTAAATATGTTTTGCTTTATAAATTACAATTATGCATATTTCTTAATATTGAAGAACTTTACAGTATTATCCATGACATTTAAAATAAGCTGAATTTATGATGTATCATATCACAAAGTAATATTTGCCTGTTTGCCCATTTAGTTCTTGGATGAAATTTCATCTACTGAAACTAAAGAGTCCAGTGGTACGAGTGAGCCTGTGCAACTGAAAGAAGGGTAATTCAATGAAATTAGACATTAAAGTCACATTTTAGTATAGACGTTAAGTAAGTACAAAGGGTATGGGTTTGGGAGTGAGGAAATAGGGGTGGGGGTGTGGTTTCTGTGCTATAACTGCCTAAGTAACATCCATCAGGTAAGTCACCCACTGTCCTACAAACTTTGTCAGATGGGCATGACTCCTTGTCTATACAGTCCTAGAATTGTTTTGCAAATATAGTAAGATTGTGGGTATTAAGCAAATTAGAATTACTGTTTGGAAAAGTAACAGTACTATTCAGTCTTAAAGTAGTATTATTGAAAGTTTTTTTTGGCGGGGGGGGAATCACTCATTTGGCATTTTTAATTCTGGATGGCACAATTATAAATATCATTTAAAATGAAAGGACAGTTTTTTGTTTTGGATTAACTTTTAATATTTGTAACTAAATGTTTACATCTGTTCTTTTGGCAGTGAGATGTATAAAAGAGCTCAGGGAAGAACTCGGATTGGAAAAAAGAATTTCAAGAAACGGTGGTTCTGCCTAACAAGCAGAGAGCTCACCTACCACAAACAGCCAGGTAGTTGTGTTTATGCATTATTGTGGGGTCTTTTCCTGGTTCTCAGTGAAGGTTTCTTTTTGCTGCTTAATGTGACTCTAGTGAACCTTTTCATGAATACTATAGTGTATAGTTTCTCACAGTGATGCACACATACTATTTATTGAATGCAAGAAATATTTCACAAGTGACGCCATGTAAGTTACATTTTTCTCTCACATGCTCTGTTTTTAAAAT